TAAATAAAACCACAGACATGTAATATTGGCATAATTATTGTTATTTACAACACCTACTTTGTTTATCGTTATTAGGCAACACCCTAATATGGGTTTTTATTATTTCAGCATTTGTTTAACTTTGTATCGAGACCTGAGAATGCTTTGCATATTGTAGAAAGCGAAACCGGTCGTCTTATAGTTAAATTAAATTGATTGTGAGTAAGTCTTATTTATTATTTCTTTACCTATTTGAAATGGACTCACACAAGCAACACATTCATGATTTAAAAAAAATTATTTTGAAAATGGTCTAAATGATTCATAGGAGAATTGCCGAAATTAAAACAATTGAAAGAACTCAAGATAGGTGGGAACTGGGACTAATGAAGAAGCACAATTTGTAGACAGATATAGAAAAATAAAGTAACAACAGCATAATAGGAAATATTCGAAAAATGTCAGTGCTTAAAAAATTCAAGAAAAAAAATAGATGCTAATATGTGTTTTGCGTAAAACATCCAGTGCATAAAGATATAATATGTTAATAAGTATCAAAGTTTAAGAAAAATTTTATAGAAATTTTCGAAACCACTTCATTAGTATTAATTCGTGCCATTTACAAACGTTACTATAGCTTGCAGTTTCGTGATATTTTTTTTTATTTAATTTTTTGTCTTTTTATTTGTTTAAAATGTTATTCACCTAAAATAATTCTTGAAAAAATTTAACCAGATCTTTATTTTAATGTTCAATTCAAAAGTAATTTTCCAGCTGTACATCACTGTCATATCCGAATTCATGCTCTTTCATATCCTTGTCTACTTTTTGGCCGTTGTCGTTTGTCAATTTCTAATCGCGTAAAAACATCCCTCGCCTACAAGGATAATGAGATGCGTAAGAGCTAGAAAATCGTCCAATTTGTCAAACAAACTCTAAAACCTTCTTCTTAGAATGTCGTTATACACGTTCAGGTTCAGGTTATATCCCTGGACGAGAGATTTAAACATAAATTGCTAGATTAGTTTAATATGTTTTTTACTTAGCTAGATTAATGCGCCATTGTAATTTTTCATGGCTTATCTGGCTTGTTATCGTTTGTAAAATTAACTATAGCCTTTTTGCCACCGAAAAAGCTCTGAAGTATTTGAAAGTAAAAAAATATAGCATTTCCTTCAATAAATAATTGTATCTAAGGTCATATTCAATAAATAAAATAGCAATAAATAATTAAAAAATCTAAGAAATCTAAAAAAGCTAAGAAATCTTAACCACATTCAAGTGATTCTTTTTATGTTACTCAATTAAGATATCTTTATTCGGGCCACTTTTAGATACCTGAGTTCAAAGTACCGCTCTTTAGTACCGAGAAGAAGATACCTAAGATAAGTACCGATCTGAGGAAGAAGATATTTAGTTTTTATTTTGGCGAACCGACGCGCTTATTGCTGGTGCTGACAAGCGCTTATTTTCAGCGCTTGCCTGCTTTTACGTGGACAAGTAAAAAGCTGGATATTAGCATCAGTTTGTTTAAAACTTTTCGTAGTGAAAGATGTCTATAGATTCCGAAACTGAAAATAAAATGTTTTTATTAGAAAATGTTCACAACATTTTACGTGTATGAAATTAATCGTGAACTGCGGGAATTCGGGGAGTACTACCACTTCTTTTCGCAGCTAAAAATGTGCTGTCATAGATTCACTAGATACATAAGGATGAAGTTTTTCTTCTTCAAGTTCCACTCCTGTCGGAGATTGGAAGTCATTCTGGCAATTATAATTTTATTGGTTACTCGCCTGAATAGTTCAATTGAACTGCATCCAAACCATTCACGAAGATTGCGTAGCCACGAGATTTTACGTCTTCCTACCAGGGTTACCTATTCCGAAGTGCAAATTCGCGTTAACCTTGCGCAGCGACGTCACTCGCAGCTTAGAATTCACATTGCTCTTAATTGTATACATAAGCACTCGTAATTTATTCATCCTAAATATGGATATTTTGCATATTATTTCACTGTCTTCATACATTTTAAATAAAAACGAATGTTTATAATGTTTTCTTAGTCAAATATATTTAATTTTTATGCGAATTAGAACAAATAAGGTATTAGTATAAAAATATAGCTACTTATTTAGGTACCTACATACTTCCACTTTTTATAAACTTTTAAGAAGGAACAAAATTTTTATATTATACATAATTGGTAAATATATAGTTAATATTCTTGCTAAATAACTATATATAAAGCAGTTTTAAAACAATTTGCGTTTAAAAATATAATACATTATGCAATAGTTTTTTTCTATTTTTCTTTTATTAGTACGTGCTAAAATAATTTTTTTATTAATATCTTTTATACGGAAGTACATACGCGATCGAAAAAATATTTTCTTAGCATCTTGAGGACAATCAATATTAACACTTGCAGATAACAGACTTGAAACATATTGTTTGCCAGTAAATATGGTATCTCCATTAAAGTTTTGAAAAATTTGCTCCAGTTTTTCCAAATGAGCCATAAATTCATTAGAAGGTTTACATAGTCCACCTTCTGTCAAATGATTGGTCCAGGTGTAAGACGTCGAACTTGGGTTAGTTAAATTTGGTAACTTGCCTTTAAGCTTGCTACAAATAAATCCCCCTAAATGTTCTAGTCCATCATATCTTAAATCATCGAGTTCTTCACAGAGGACTATGTCATCTTCATCCGTGGGATTGGTGTCAATGATTGTTTTTTTTAAAGCAAGCTTTTCTACCATACTATCGCTCATAGTTAATGTAGACGTACCATCGTCTTCTACATTACAGTAATCTGAAAACGCACCTTCATTTTTTCCCATTAAATACGAACGCAGTCGGTATTTAAAATCTAAAGAAGTTGGATGATCGTTCAAACCACGTTTTGCTCTTATGACTCCAAAAAAATTCTCCAAGGGATCTTGGTTTAAGCGTCTCGTCAAAAGGTAGTTCAAATTATAGCGTTTGCCTACATCTTTAAGCAGCAACTGCAAAGCCTTATTTGATATAAGAATACCTACAATGTTTTGTAAAATGTTATAAATGTGTTTTTACTTTGATATACTGTGTTACCTTTTTGAAATGGAAGCAATGATTTCTTGCCTTTAACGCGCATTGTTGAAATCATGTCAGACATTCTATTTAAAATATCATTTTTTGTTTCTCACTCCAAACCATATGCCCGGTTTCTGGTTCGAGTGTCGCTCACAGAAACTCTAACATTAAATATGTCAAACCAATCGTTCACCTATAACAAGTTAAAACAAATTAGTAATTAATGTTTACCTTACAAATGGTAACTCTTACTAGTTTAAAAAGATCTGCCAATTGTGTCCAATTTGTGTCTTGATTAATGAGACCAAGCAAGCCGCACCTACTAATAGCCTTCGATACCGTATGGGAGAATAATTTAGCGGCATATTTTACTCTCGGAGAAATAGTACTTATTTTTTTTTTCGGAGAACTATTTTCTTTTCGTAACTTATTTTCGGAGAAAACTTCGAAACTGATAACTTCACTCTTTGGTTGCTAGTTTCTAACTAATGCTGCTACCCAGCATTAGTCAATCGAATACTTAGCCGAGAACCGAAACCTCGAGTATAAAACCCTTTTAGAAAGAAATATTATACAACAAACAGACTACCGAGTTTTTAGAGTTTCTACGTGAGGTGTACTCGGAAGCTTAGATTAAAATTGCGTTGTTCCGATTTTAAGTCTCCTAACTTGACAAATTCCCAGAACCAAGCGGTCGGGATCACAATGGATTTTGATTCATTTGTTATTGTATTATTAGCTTTTACATCATGTACTTTATAAAGGACCGCTTAGGTATCATGTAAGAATAAATTTTTGAATGTTTTCACACGTTTTTGTGAGTACATAAAAATGCTCAATGCAAATTACAGGTATTGCAAGAAAAATTGTATTGTCTCTTAAATATTTCTTCTCAAATTTAAGAAAAAGTAAAAATTTCTATCTGAATATAAAATTCGGTAGCGGTACATCGGTAGAAAAGCGGCGAAATCAGTAGGTTTGGGAACACTGCTGCTACCTGCTACGCTGCAACTGACGTCACTCCCTGGCCGAAGATCGAGCGACCGTGCGCAATATGTTACCTCTGTAGTTTATTATACCATGTCTTCCTACGCTTCTTCTACCTTAGATTTTACCCTGCATTATATTCCTTAGTAGTTCGTACTTTTCACCTCTCATGATGTGCCCCAAGTATTCCAATTTCCTGATTTTTATGGAATTTAAAACTTCGCATTGTTTTTCTAGTTGTTCGAGAACTTGTTCGTTTGTTTTGCGATCCATCCATGATATTTTCAAAATACGTCGGTAACACTACATTTCGAATGCTTCTAGATTTTTAATGTTGGATTTTTTAAGTGTCCAAGCTTCAACTCCATACAAAAGGGTAGAGAAAATATAACATCGAAGCATTCTTATCCGGAGCGATATGTTGATATGAAGTTGAACACATCTAATTACATCCTGAGTAAAGTAGAAGAAAGTTTATCAAAAAAGTGGTATAACTGGCATCATCGACCCATACATCTAGAAGAACGATTAGTCATTTTTTTAAGAAAAGTATAACTTTATTGAAATTGCTTTTTTTTACTTCCTCTTTTTCTAGTTCCATAACCGTTATCGATCTTTGGATATCATGTTGGCTACCTTATTCGATATCGTGACTTTATTGACAGCAGCTCTACATTATTTTTACAAAATAATGAAAAGGATAAAAAATATAGTATTTATTGGTTGCTGTCCTCTATAAATCCATATCTACTAATAAAAAACTGTGAGTTTTGTTCCGATGGAACATTGTGAGTTGTTGATGGTGTTAAAGCATGGTACTGTGGTGCGGAAGGAGATTGCAAGGATAGTAATTACTAAATTTTAAGCGAATTACTTGGGTACGCAAATTCACTAATTGTTGGATTCTCCCACTAAATTCTAAAATTCTTTCTGGCATATACTTTTTTACGTGCGGAAGTATGCTTTTGAAAGAATGTAAGTCTTCGTCTTCAGGCTCCTCTGTATTTTTTGTTATCGGTCTTTCGAGCCAGGATTTCTAGTTTTTTTATCGTTTTATTTCCAGCATAGATGCGGTATACTCATTTGTCCTTTGACGTTTAACTATTCGTTTGAACATTGGCTTAGACTTACGAGTCTGTGACGTTGTTGCTGTAGGAGAAGTATTGGATGAAGTATTTTACGAAATCGATGCTGCAGAATTGTCAGAACGGAAAAAGTCATTTCCTACTTCTACATAATCTAATAAATCTCGGTCATCGGCAGTGTCTAGTGATGGTTCATGTTGAATGACAACATCCTTATTTTCATTCTCAGTAGAATCAAGAGCTGTCACAAGAGATGCACTGCACTGGGAGTTTTCTTGGTTCCTATGAGCTACAGATCGGGTCAAATTTTCCGAGCTCAGTCGTGATTTAATGATGTCTTTCAGAATATACAACGATTTGAAGTTGCGCCGCTTACTGGTGTGCTTTTTTCCACCTTTGTCTACATATTTGGGGCGTTTAATTTTCAACAACTCTGTACTAAACTAATCACCCAAATACTTTCACTTTTTGTGCAGTTTGTCTTCTGTAATAAAAGAAGAAATGGGTAAAATATGTACATAGAAGAAGGATCAGGGTTACGAAACTAACTACATTATGGTTAGTCGAATTCCTATCTGTATATAGTTACATTTATGAATACTAAAGCATAATTTAAATTATGTGAAATTATCTTATTTTATAATTACAGGTACATATTATTTGGGTTTAGGTATTTAGCTTAGCTACAAGCCTTGTCATTCAATTTCCGAGTGCGTTCATCAACTGTAGGGAACATTGTTAGAGAGGTGGTTACAGTTGTATGGGATTAACTTCAGCCTTCGAATATGCTAGTGCCAACCAAACAACTTTTTCCAGAAACTGCTAAGGATTTCTTTGGTCTTTGGAATTTTCCAAATGGGTTTGGGGCAATTGACGGAAAGCATGTCCGAGTTAAGTGTCCAAGTAATTCAGGATCCATGTTTTTTAATTACAAACATTTCTTCTCTGTCGTCTTACAAGGCGTTGCTGATGCGAACTATCGGTTTATAACAGTCGTCGTTGATGGATATGGCAAACAAGGTAATAGTGGGACCTTCCAAGTATAAGATTTATACGATCTATTATTAAACACACAGGAACTTGACATTCCGGAACCCTCATTCTTACTTGGAACGAATGTAAAAGCTCCATATGTTTTTGTTGTAGACGAGGCATATCCACTGCTCCCTTGCCTCCTTAAACCATATGCAAGAGATGCTTTGGGCATTGATGAGAAAAATTATAATAAACGGTTCTCTCGAATGAGAAAGTCAATTGAATGCGCATTTGGAATTTTATATGTAAAATGGCGTTTGCTTTCGAAGAACATTGAAACATATAGTGAAATAGTCGATCATATTATTAAGTGTATATGTATTTTGCACAATACCGTTATTGATATGGGAGGCATAACACATCATGTATCTGATGCAGCAGTAATTCCTGTGTCAAACAATAAAAAAAAACCTTTTGGAAGACCGACAAATGAGGCAAAGGAATTAATTCACCACGTACTTTGCCAGTTTTCCTTTAGTTTATGATGTGTAAATATATTTTTATAATAGTGCAGAATCTATTTAACTTATTTATTTTTGCTCTAACTGTTATGCATGATAAAAATCATAATGTTTCTAAATGGGGAGTTCCTAAAATATGTATTAGGACCAACAGGCCTTATGTAACAACAAAAATTAAATAGATACTGTAATATATTCAAATAGTAAAATCATTTGTTTACCTTTAGTTTTCATTTGAACACTCACGTCCTTCCAGCACTTTTCCACATAATTTCCATTGGAATGTTGTTTGACTCGTTTATTCCATATAGCCCGTCTTTCGTATACTATACTGATCAATTGATTGTAGTCAATCATGTTATTAAATGCTTTTATAGCCTTAAATATTGTGTAAACGCACAAAAACAAACACTCCCAAATACGACTACCAGCGTCCTAGAGTCTGAAAAATAATGTATTGAACATTCTTGTTGGCTGGTCAGCGCCTGTTGCAAACGCTCACAAGTTCAGACAAGCGTTCATTGTGCTTGCTCGCCAGCCCGGCAACACGCGTTCTACGTGTTTCTACCCTTAAACATTATCAACCAAGCCGGATTGGCAACATTTTTTATGTTTAATAAGAGTATAAATACTAGTTTATTCGGGATTGCTCTTTACTCGTTGTGAACGAGGTGGTACTATTTTTATATACATAGTATGTTTTTTGAACACCCAATTAGTCTGATTCGTTTCTTTTTAAGTATTATAGCATATTTATGTGAACTACATTCAATAAGTAAACTAGTTCCTGGTAGTAATGCTACAGAAGTTTTCTGATACTTACTGTTAAAAAGCGCAAACTACAATATTTGGGACATGTTATGAGGGGAGATAAATACCAGTTGCTGCAATTGATTATACAGGGAAGGATAATGGGAAAGAGATCTATAGGAAGAAGAAGGCATTCATGGTTGAAAAACTTGAGAGAATGGTACAATTGCACCAATTACCAACTGTTTAGATCTGCAGCATCAAAAATACGCATAGCTTTGATGATAGCCAAACTTCGGAACGAAGACGGCACTTGAAGAAGAAGATACAATTGTATATCTATTACAAAATTAAATATGGCACAGTAACTATTTTAAGTATTTTTTCTACTTTTATCTTTTAAGCTTTTTTAATTACAAAAATTTGTTGCACTTAATACGGCTTTTTATAGTTGGAGTGTGTTCGAATAAATCCATTCGAACATATAAAATTATTTATTAATATTTTTAATTTAGTATTCAACTCCATGTTTGACAAAGGTGCACTCACTCTAAAAAAATGATATAATTCTGACAAATGTCATTGTCAAAGATCTGAAAAAAAATTTATGTCAATAGTTATAGTATATAGTTTTTTGTGCACCTTAAAAGAAGACTCCCCGAAAAATCAGGCACCCCGCCTACTCTCAAAGCGAATTTTAGTCCAGCACGGTGCAACATCTCCGTTTGACAGAAATCATTAAGAATCCGTCAAGGATTTAATCTCCAAAAAAAATAGTATATAGTAGTTTAGTTTCTCCAAATCGGTCAACGATTTGTCCCGCTTGTTAGAAGTTTTTTTGCATTTGGAAGCCTTAGACTCACGAGGCTGGTACATCTCTTAATCCAGGATCTTCGTGATAGTGACGTGAATGGACAATAACCCGCACATAGACGTTTTTGAAAGACTTGTTAACTGGTAATTAATATTTATGTATTTGTACTAATTTTATTTATGCTATTTGTTTTTCGCTCTCTATAATAAATCGTTTTGTACCTTTGGATAGCTTTTTGAACCGTTAGTGTTAAGACATTCTTATATTACAGGTAAGAGCTCTCATATTTTTTTAACCAGCAATCTATGCAATACAATCTCTCACATTTTAAGGACATTCTTCATGTGTGTCCTATTGTGTAGATACTAATTTTATCTACATAAAGTGGTCCTTCGTCCTGGATTTTGAGGCTCTTCTCTACCTGTAATCTTTTTCTTAGCACTTTGGTTCAAACCCCCACCAAAATATCTTATATTTTTTTCTACCTTTAGTTTTTTCAGTTGTTTAGTCTCTTTAAAATTATTTTATAGTTTAGGTATTATTTTGTATATATAAATTGGCATTACATGTCAAAGATGGAGTTAACACAAAGTTTTAAAAATAGGCGCTTGGCAAAAACTAAATTGACAAAATTAAATAATTATCTCGATATAAATTTGGCTAATCTCACTATTCACTCCACTAAAGATCGTATTATGCATTTAAAAAAGGCGTATGATTCTTATTGCCAAGCCCAAGATGAAATAGAATCCTCTGAAGCTGAAGATGATGAAGACACAAACATCATCGATAATATTTATTTAAATATGCTTTCTACGCTTGAGGAGAATTTGCTTAAATTTAGGTTAACAGAAAATAGCAGTTCTTCTAGTTCTTTTTCTCAAAATAATCCCTCTAGTTTACCCACGCAAAGAAGCATAAAACTTCCGCAAATCCAATTGGAATGTTTTTCTGGCGATTTCAACAAATTTCAAACCTTTCTTCAAATATTTACTAGCACAGTAGATGCAGATACATCACTTACTAGTATAGAAAAGTTTATTTATTTGCGTTCTCTGTTAAAAGGAGAGCCCTTCCAGCTAATAGAGAACCTCACGCTTATAGAGTCTAATTACAAAATTGCACTTTCCACGTTAGTTAGTAGGTATTCCAATAATCGTATAGTTATTAAACAGTTATTTGCGAAGATTATTGATACAAAAGGGTTACCTAATAATGCAACCTTTACCCAGCTCAGAGAATTTCACACAACCGTCTCCAATGCATATAAATCTCTTCTAAATCTTAATTTATCGCACGAGAAGTTGTTAAATTTAGTGTTTATACATCTTATCAGCCAGAAATTAGACAATGCTACACTTCGGCAGTTAGAATTTTCTCAAGAACATGAACTTGAGCAATCAGATGTTTCTCAATTTATGAGTGCGATAGAAAATCGAGTCCGCCATTTAGAAATGCTTTCCATCACCACAGATAAGTCTAAAGCCTCCGGTAACAAAGATGTACGATTTTCATGTCATACCCATACTGATGCTAAACAAAATTTGGCATCGTCTCGTTCCACTTCCTTTAATAAGTCATGTGCATACTGTAAAAATAAGTCTCATTCTATTTATGTTTGTAAAGATTTTAAGTCCCAAAATGTTGCTTCTAGACGTGAATTTGTCAAGCAGCACTCGTTATGTTTTAATTGTTTAGGCAATAAACATTTGATTAAAGAATGTCCTAGTAGTAAAACGTGTTTTCACTGTAACCAACGTCATAATTCTCTACTACACATGGAGATCAGGACGTCACACTACTCTGCTCACTCTCAACCGTCAAGGTCTCTCAATGGTAACTGTAGTTCTGTCCCTCAGAATTCTAATACTCACAGTTCTGTAGACAACCACCCGTCTACTTCTCGCTCTCTTCCAGAAGTTGTAGATAATGTTTCACACAGCACCAATGCAGTTACACTCTCAAATGTTATTTCAACTAGTCCTAACAACTCTATAGTATTACTGAGTACAGTTGAAGTATATCTCTTTGACAAATCTGGCAAACGAATTTATGTCAAAGCTCTTTTAGACAATGCCAGCCAGCTATCCCTTGTAACTAGTGACCTAGTACATCAGTTAGGGATCACCACAGAATCTCAGACCATTAAAATTAACGGGGTTAACTCTGGCACGTCAACTTCCACCAAAGTTTCTCATTTGCAGATTTATTCTGCAGCTACTGATCACAAGTTAAATGCTAGTTGCTTTGTAATTCCAAGTATTACTGGGTATTTACCTCAGGTCAAAATAAACGCAAGGCAAATTCATATTCCTAGTTCCATTACATTAGCAGATTCTCGTTATGCAGTTCCCAGCCCAGTTCATTTATTGATCGGCGCTGATTTGTATTCTGATATTCTTTTAAATAATACAGTCTCTCTTGGCCCAAAACTACCAATGTTACAGGAAACTCTTTTTGGTTACATAATATTCGGTAGGGTCCCAAGTTCAGCAATTAGTAAAGGATATCATCACTCCACATATCTTAATAATTTGGTCACATGCCATATCAATAATGTTTCTGACACCCCCCTCTTGTCTGATGAAGTGTTACATGGATTAGTGGAAAAATTCTGGGAGTCTGATCAACTTCCACAGATTCAGGATTCTGTAGATACAGACCACCCCGCAGAAACTCAGTTTTTAAAGACTGTACAAATTCTTCCCTCAGGTCGATATAAAGTTTCTTTGAATTTAAATCGTCCTCTTGGTGATATTAAATTATCAGGCTCTTTACCGGCAGCTAAGGCTCGCTTTCTTCAATTAGAGAGGAAACTACACTCTGATCCACAACTATTTCATAGTTATCGCAAGATTATTCAAGATTATTTAGCTAATGACCAGATAAAAAGAGTACCTTTAAAGCCTCTGTCCATAGACAATAGGGTAAATTATTATTTACCCCACTTTCCAGTCAGAAAAAATGACTCTAGTACAAATGTACGGCTAGTATTTGATCCAAATAATAAAACTTCTTTTGGTTGTCTTAATGATCAACTGGATAAAGGGTTTTTAACCCAACCTCTTCTTATAGATATTCTTTTAAGATTTCGTACATTCACTCAAGTTTTAATAGCAGATATCCAATCTATGTATATGCAGATATGCGTAGACAGTTCCGAGTTACACCTTCTCAATTTTCTCTGGCGTGACTCGCCAGAAATGCCATTGAATGCATTTCAACTTACTAGAGTTCCTTTTGGCTTATGCTCATCTCCATTTCTCGCCACTAGGGTTCTCAAACACATTGCGGACAATAATAAGGATGATTTTCCTTTAGCCTGTGAGGCTCTCTTGTATTCTACTTATGTAGATGATATTTTAGGTGGATGTGACTCTTTAAAAGAATTAGAACTCTTGTTCTCTCAACTTAAAATCTTGTTACGTAAGCACGGTTTTAATCTCCATAAAGTTTCCTCGAACAACGAAGAATTTTTGAGAAGACATGGCCTCAAAAATTCGACGCCCTTAACCCATAACTTAGGTGATTCTTCTTCGAAAATCCTCGGAGTTAAGTGGAATCAACAATCAGATACATTTTCATTTTCACCACCAAATTTTGATTTAGGCCAGTCAATCACTAAGAGAAAGGTGCTTAGTATTCTGATGTCTACCTTTGATCCAATGAATTTAGCCGGTTATATCACTGCATCTTCCAAAATTCTCTTGCAACGTTTATGGCAGGCTAAACTTAGTTGGGATGAACCAATCTTCGATCCAGAATGGTTAAAGGATTGGAAAATTTTACTTGATGGTTTTCAATCCATTCCCCTTTTAAAATTCCCCAGATGTTTAGTATTGGATAAGCGAATTATAGATGTTCAACTTCACACCTTCTGTGATATCTGCCTTAAGATATTTGCAACATGTACTTATCTGCGCGTAGTGTACGAGGATTACTCTGTTTCCTCTCGTTTAGTATCTTCCAAATCTCGAATAGCTTCTGCTAAGCAAAATCTTACGATACCTCGCTTAGAGTTAAATGCCGTGTTGATCGGAGTTATTTTAACTCAATCAGTTTCGAATGTATTGAGGAGGAATTGGCCGATCGCACAAACTCATATTTATAGCGACTCGTTAGTAGCTCTTAGTTGGATTTTGAATAAAAGGCTTTCGTTGAATCCTTATGTTCATAACCGTGTGCAGAAGATTATTGCCCTAAGTAAGGATTACTCTTTTCATCACATTCCGTCTCAACTAAACGTAGCAGATATTCCGACTCGTCCCAGAGATATTACACGCAATTCCACACTCTCAATATTATGGTTGTCAGGCCCAGAGTTTCTTATTAAGCACCCTCTTGATTTTTCTCAGTTTAAGATTATTCTGATCACGCAAAACTTACCCGAGATTCGGTCAACACAAGTTACGTTAACCACGGCCTCCCCTGAAATACAAGTGAATGAAACCTTAGAATTAATTTTCTTTAAGTTTTCGACTTTCTCCCGCATGCAAAGAGTATTGGCCTATGTTTTTAGATTTATCAAAAATCTCAAGAATAAAAGCTCTAATCTCCCATTGTTCGCATCTTCGCTACAGAATGAAGAAATTGAAGCGGCAACTTTAAGCATTGTACGATACCTTCAATTACGATCATTTCACAGGGAACTATCATAATTAAAAAGTGGAAAACCTCTTTCGAACCGATCGCTTAGGCAACTAAATGTTTTTTATGATCAGAAGTGTTCGACACTACGTGTTGGAGGTAGACTTTCCAACGCTCCCCATCTCTCTTACAATGAGAAACATCCAATGATTCTTCCTAGTAAGAATCGAATTGTATCTTTGATGATGTATCAAATCCACGTCTCCTTACTTCACAGTGGCCCACAAGTGTGTCTGTCTCATTTCAGAATGAAATTTTGGCCTTTGTCGGGTTTAACTCAAATCAAACAAGTAATTTACAACTGCGTGGTATGCCACAGGTTTAAAGCAAAACCAATCACCCAGTTTATGTCTGATCTTCACTATAACCGTGTTTCAGGCACAAGACCCTTTCAATTTGTCTCAGTGGACTATGCTGGACATTTTACGTTGAAATCATCTCACCTCCGTAGATCTCCTTCCTATAAAGCGTATGTAGCATTTTTCATTTGCACCACCACCAAGTGTTGCCATCTTGAGCTCGTAACCGGTCTCACTAGTCAGGGCTATATTTTGGCACTAAAAAGATTTATAGCACGAAGGTCAGTCCCATCATGTATCTGGTCTGATAATGCGACTAATTTTTATGGGGCAAAAAACGAGCTCCATGAACTCTATAAATTTTTTATGAATGAAGATCACACAACATCCATTAAAGACTTCGCAGCTCAGAACCAAATCACTTTTAAGTTCGCTACCCCTCTTAATCCTGCAAGTGTAGGAATACATGAAAGAGGCATTCAGTCAGCTAAATTTCATCTCTGTCGTGTGATAAGAAACGCAGTGCTCACTTACGAATCCTTCAATACAGTACTATGCCAAATTGCGGCGATTCTTAACTCTAGACCACTATTTAGAATCTCAGAAAGCCCAGAAGACCTTTCTTTTCTTTGCCCTGCCCATTTTCTGGTAGGCCAATCTCTATTAGCCCCACCGGAGCCTAGTAATATTTTAGAGATTCCAGAAAACAGACTGTCCCTCTATCAGAAATTGTCGCAAATGCAATTATTGTTCTGGAAGAAATGGAGTGTCTCATACCTCCAAACCCTACAATCTCGATCCAAGTGGTGTACTGTTACTCAAAGTCCTGTACAAGTCGATGACATAGTACTCATAATAGACGCCCATCTACCCCCGCTAAAGTGGGAGCTAGCAAGAGTCTTAGAGCTAATACCAAGCAATGATGGCCTGGTTCGAACTCTACGACTTCGGACAAAAAACACAACTTGTCTTAGATCAATCAGGCAAGTAAGTAAACTTCCTAGCCCCACATAATATAATTTATATTCTTCTCTCTTCCAGTTTCATATGATTAGCCTTTGTCCCCCTGGCGGGGAGTATGTTCGAATAAATCCATTCGAACATATAAAATTATTTATTAATATTTTTAATTTAGTATTCAACTCCATGTTTGACAAAGGTGCACTCACTCTAAAAAAATGATATAATTCTGACAAATGTCATTGTCAAAGATCTGAAAAAAAATTTATGTCAATAGTTATAGTATATAGTTTTTTGTGCACCTTAAAAGAAGACTCCCCGAAAAATCAGGCACCCCGCCTACTCTCAAAGCGAATTTTAGTCCAGCACGGTGCAACATCTCCGTTTGACAGAAATCATTAAGAATCCGTCAAGGATTTAATCTCCAAAAAAAATAGTATATAGTAGTTTAGTTTCTCCAAATCGGTCAACGATTTGTCCCGCTTGTTAGAAGTTTTTTGCATTTTGAAGCCTTAGACTCACGAGGCTGGTACATCTCTTAATCCAGGATCTTCGTGATAGTGACGTGAATGGACAATAACCCGCACATAGACGTTTTTGAAAGACTTGTTAACTGGTAATTAATATTTATGTATTTGTACTAATTTTATTTATGCTATTTGTTTTTCGCTCTCTATAATAAATCGTTTTGTACCTTTGGATAGCTTTTTGAACCGTTAGTGTTAAGACATTCTTATATTACAGGTAAGAGCTCTCATATTTTTTTAACCAGCAATCTATGCAATACAATCTCTCACATTTTAAGGACATTCTTCATGTGTGTCCTATTGTGTAGATACTAATTTTATCTACAGAGTGAAAAAAGTAAAGGAAAATTAAAAAGCGCCATAAGGTTAACTTTATTTCACGGCGTTGGTTGTGCAATTAGCCCACAGCTTTACCAACAATAAAATATCAGGTCACCTTTGACTTTGACATTACATGAACTTCAATACCTATACATCAATTATTGATAGGCGAGGCGATGAAGCAATAAACTTACCACATTTTTACAGTTTGATGGATTAAAATGAAATTTATTGCATTGCATTTGTAGGAGTGTCTGGAAATTAAAAAAAAATATGGAAGACAAAATTACATTATTAAACAAGGAAAATAGTGCATCTTGGCCTCGTCTACTGGAATTTGTGGATATTCGATACGAAGCAATGTAAATTTAATATATTGATATAAGGTTGAATGCTCAAAATAAATGAACTCTGATCAAATAAAAGGCAGACATCGAGAATAGTTTTATTAATTAAATCTTGGTCAGGAAATTTTGCTGCCTAAAGCATCTTCAGGGGCATTTCGTCAATTTTGGCCTATCCAACAATCACAGAATGTCATAAAACTACACAAGGCTTTTAAACAAGCAAACACTTTAAAATTATTTAAAATAGGCAAACAGGAGAGAGATTCTCTCCTGTTGCCGACCATAATGTAGCTTCATAATATAATGTCGACCTTCTTTGCAACAGTCACTGAAATTATTTGCCTTCTAGGCACGTATACGTTTATATCGTATGAATGTGTTTGGGCGGCCATGTCGACAAAATGAGAGAATATCTGAATCATAATATTTCTGCTTTTAGCTCGAATGTGATATCGACCTATAAGGCCTTTCATTAAATCGTCTACACCCATGTGAGAATTATATTCACATATGATTTGTGGACAATTAACTTCGATGTATGTTCCTTGCTTCCTGTCACACCAAGGTACTTTTGCTATTTGTTGAGTTGGAGCGGTTCTTATAAAAGATTGAATGCCAACATATGTCGATGCCAGGCAGACACATGTGTTAACGCAGTGCTTCCATAACACAATGCTGACGTTGATCCCGTAGCTTGAGGTCATATATGCTATGGAAAACTTTTTACTTTATTTATTTACTTCACTATCAGTCGGCAGTTAACACAGTGGTAAACAGTTGGCTACAAATAAAAAATTAAAACATGTATTATTTTGAATAATAAAAACTTCTGAAATTTATTTACCTCCTACTGTGCCTAAACTATAAATTCCTCTTGCACGCAAAATATACCAGAAGAGGAAGCGAAGTATAAAAGTTGTCAAAATAAAAGATGTAATGCACGAAATTAGGAATCGTTTGTGATAAACGAACTACAACATTTGACGTTGCTCCTTGGTCTGGTGTACCAACCAAGACTACATTATCTTCAGCAACATTGTAGATTTCAAAGCGATAGGCAAAACCATGTAAATTATACAGAACAAACCATTTCGCACCCCATGTGTGCGGCTTATTTGGCATATATTGACGCAAATGGGGTTTCGTTTTTGTAGATCATACCTGTTCATTAACACAAAGTCCAGCGGCTTTGGGGACGGAATTAAATCTGCCTTTAGTTTATTTGCTAACTTTCGAATCCAAAATAATGAATCATATCCTGGTTGACCTTTCTTCTTTTGCTGTGATTCATCTTGAAATGATAAATACTTCTTGATGGCAATAAATCGTTTCATCACACAGTTTTTAATTGGCACAAAAGCATTGTTTTTCCAATAACTTTTTATATTGGAATAGCGAAATATATAGACATGTACAGCGTTATACCAATGTTATGTCTTATTTCGTATGTAGTTGTGCTAAAAGTTGTATTTATATTTTTTTCCAAAGCACAACAGTTTGTCTCTTCAGCAATAAGTTTCACGATATCGTCATTAAAAAAATAATTAAAGAATTGCATAGGTGTTGCAAAGTTGTTTGACTGTCCTAGGAAGGAATCAATTGCCACGAAAAGCAACCTCATTTATATGTAAACGCATTGAGCGATTACGTCACGTCAATTTGGAAAGTTTTTTCGAGTTTTGATATTAGTATTGTTCTGAAGCTATTTTCTTTTGGCATTTTAAAATAATTACTATTTAACTGGGAATAAGCCACAATTAAAGATAAAAATACGTTTATTGATGTTTCAATTTCCACTTCGGAAATCGTTCTCAAAATACAAACTGTTTGTATTTTGAACAACTTCAAACTTTCGAACAAAATTTCACACTGAAGGGAATATTTTTTATACGTAAACCAGCAAGGCCGTCTTAAGACTGTCTTGGTATTTTTGTTTATAAAGCCTATTTACACATTAGTTTTTAGTAAAATCTTATTACATTACTGAAACAGGAAATATAATCTACTTACCAAAAAATTATCATTTTTATCACTTTGACCTAAACGTGTTTTTTGACAATTTAAAAATAATGTTTATAAAGAAATAATTTTCACTGCCATTTTATGGAACGTTAGCAATTGATTAACGATAATAACGCTATTGCGTTGCCAGAATATGTTTACTTGTATCGAATAACGTCAAATAAGTTTTTTAAAGATGAAAAAAGTTACTGTGGCAACAAAAACAATTCGGTTTAAGATTTGTAAGCTAAAATGCAAATAACGGTGTTTCCTGTTAGAGGGTTAAGCATTCCCTAGACCTAACTGCTTTAATTTGTGAGTTAATTCTTATTGTGTCAAACATTGATTGCAACAAAAATTAGGAAAAATTTTATCAGGTTGGCCGTGAAAAAATACAAAATAACTTAGACTGATCCTTATTTCGTTAATATTTAATAAGATATCACTATATCTAAGTAGTTAAAAGTGACTTGTCGTTTAATATACAAATATCATTAAATTTAAAATAAAATAAAAGAAAGACAGACTGAATTTTAGTTTCGTCAATAGAAATCTTCGAATTTCTACATTCGCGATTTGTAAAACAAAATATATACTTAACAAAAATATCACAAAAATCGTTTAATTATTAATAAATGTTCAAAATGGTCTCGGTCGACATCAATACATAATTGCAAGCGATTTTTAGAAGAGCGATTTCTTCTTCTTAGGGTGACTGTCCATTCCGAACGTTGCCGATCATTCTGGCTATTATGACTTTGTTGGTTGCTATACGAAATAGTTGTGTTGAGGTCTTCTTATATCATGCTCTAAGGTTAACAAGCCATGATATTCTTCTTCGCCCTGGGTCCCTTTTTCCTTTAATTTTACCTTGCAAAATGCATTGAAGTAGCTCGTATCTGCCCTTAATCGTAATCTGCCTTAGCTTACGGCCCTTCACGGTGTTAATCAAATCCGCAGTTGTGTTTATCATTCGCAGTACTTCTTCATTGGTGACTTTGTCTGACCATGATATCTTCAGGATCCTTCTGTCTAGCCACATCTTAAAAGCATGCATCCATACAGAGGCACTGAGTATACATAACGTTTAATGAGCCTTATTTTTATTTCTAGGTTGAGGTCATGGCTCTTGAACACAAAGCTCATAGTCAAGAATGCACTTTTTGCCTTTCCTATGCGACATTTATTCTGTTGGGTATTGACCCACGACTCATTGATTATAGTTCCCAGGTAGTTGTATTGCAAGACACGTTCAATTCTCATTTGGTTCACATACAGATTTGCTTCAGTTATATTTTTCTTGCTGATGATCATTCCCTTTTGGTTTTTCTGGTGTTTATATCCAGTCCATATTTTCTACTTGTTTCCGTTATTTTGTTCGTAAGGTTTTACAGCCCTTCAATGGTATTGGAAAACACTATTGTATCATCTGCATACCGCAGGTTATGGAACTTGACTCCATTTATTGAGATGCCTTTATAAAAATTTATTGAGATGCCTTTATAAAAATTTTTTTGAGACTCTTCAAAATTGTACTATGAGTACAGAGCAATTTATACTAGTTAATATACAGTAGTCTCTCTTTATAACGATTCCCTATATAACGATAATTCCTCTATAACGATGAAAATATTAAACGTTGGTTGGTTTGTTATAAGGACAATGTATTAATTCTCTCTCTATACCGATATCGTTCTCTCTTTATAGCGATGATTTTCAGCGTTCAATAGTCGATGACGAAAAATGTGTTATTTTGTTTAAAGTTCAGACTACCTGAGTTACGAGTGGCAAGGTCATTGTCCAGAGGTTGTTTAGTTTTGCGAGTTGTATCTTAGTGTGTCAACAGTCAACATATTTTCGAAAAAGCCTAAAGTGCTCTCGATGGAGGAAAAGTAATCGATAGCTCGAGCAATAGAAAGAGGTAAAAAGCAATTGGGTATCGTTCGCCGTACGGCGCTACTCAGTCAACTGTGTCTCCGATATGAAAGGACAGAAAAAAGTGGCTCAAAGCGTAGAAGGAGGGTGGTAGCAGGAAGTAGTTGCGAAAACCTCAGCAACAGCGTATGAACCATTTTTTACTTTCTGGGCTTGTGGTCACGACAAAAGCTGAGATCTTTGCAATAAAGCTTGGAATTGAGAATTTAGAATTGAGAATCTACAACTACGTTATGTTAACAAAAACGTAACGGACGATTGGTTAGAAAACGTATGGCCTGAAATAAAGGCACGATATGTGACAGACGACATTTTCAATGCTAATGAGACTGGATTATTTTTAAAAAAGACATAAAACACACTAACACACACACACATAAACCCACGTTGCTTTAAAACATAAAAAATCTACGGGTGACCTATAAAGCAAACAAGAGTGCGTGGATAACTGCGGAAATTTTTGAAGAAGCGATAATCAAGTGGGATATCGAACTTAAAGTGAAAAAAATCTTCAGCTTGTAGACAATTGTCCTGCTCATCCTGTACTGTGCGACCTTCAAAACATTGAACTTTGTTTTCTGCCAGCAAACACAACGAGTGTCCTTCAGCCCATGGACTAAAATGTTATCAAGAGTTTAAAAAGCCATTTCAGGAGAAGACTTTTGATGGAATTGGTTGAAAACAATGGCGATCTTAAAGAAACCATTTTTGACGCCAGCCTAATGATTAGTAAATCTTGGTACGAGGTGACGAGCAATACTACGGTGACAAATAATAAAACATTCCTTCAAGCACGCAGGATGGCTGGAAGATCAAGAATTGACTAATGATGAAGATGACCTGCCATTATATGTTTTCCAGTAGACAGTTTAAATTTACTACCACCTACGGACCGGAAGAGCTAAACAGATTTTAAAGAAGTTGATGAGAATGTAGCAACAATAACTGGACTTTCTGATGAGGCCATCCTATAAGCAGTTCATGTAGAAGAAAAAGAACAAAACAGAAACCCGGAAGTAGAAGCAGAG